GCTAACTGCCTTTTTTCGCCAGTACCTTTTAGGGAAAAGGTTCACAATTTATTCAGATCAAGCGTCGCTGTCCCACGTACTAAAATTGAAGGATCCCACTTCTCGGATAGCTAGGTGGATTATGGGCTTGTCCCAATTTGACTATACAATAATACATAAACCAGGGAAATTGAACGTAACAGCTGATTTCTTGTCTAGAGCAGTAAATGTAACGCATCCTTGTTCAAAATTCTGTCAGTCCAGACTTATTACAGACGTTCAAAGAAGAGCAGGGTTCAGATATGCATTGTAAGCAGATTATTTCAGATATAAAAAAAATTTGACTCCTAGTCCTCGTTTTTTGAAATTTTTTATGCGTAATGGCATTTTATATTGTGAATATGCTAAGCAACGTACCCGTTGGCAAAAACTGCACAGGTTGGTTGTTCCACGATCTTTAGTTTCACGTATTCTGCAAGAGCACCACGATTCGCCGGTGGCGGCGCATTCCGGGTTCCATCGCACACTGCAACGTATTCAAAAATCCTTTTATTGGAAAGGCATGTATAGGGACATTCATAATTATGTAAAATCTTGTCATTCCTGTATCGGAAGGAGGGGTCACCGGCCTTCTCACAAGGCTCCTCTTCTGAGAATGCCTGTGGCTTCTCGTCCGATAGAAAGAATAGCCATGGACATTGTTGGTCCCTTACCCATTACTTTACAGGGAAATAAATACATCTTAGTTATCACTGATTATTTTACGAGGTGGCCCGAGGCTTATCCTTTGAAAGACTTTACTTCTGAATCTATCATAGAAAAACTGGAACTTTTTATTTCGGCTCACGGTGTGCCTTTACACGTAGTTACTGACAGGGGCTCGAATTTTATTTCACATGCAATAAAAGAAGTATATCAGAAATTAGGCATCACTAAGCACACCACCACCAGTTACCACCCGCAGTCTGACGGAGTCGTTGAACGCTTAAATGCTACTCTAATAAATTCTCTCAGCCACCTTGTGAGTGAGACGCAGGAAGATTGGGACAGACATTTGCCTTTCGCACTTTTAGCGCACAGAACTGGACGGCATAGCGCATTACTGGACTGCCCAGCATTTTTTCTTTATGGAAGAGATTTAAATTTACCTATTGATTTGTTGACACAAACAGACTTTAAGACTTATCGTGACACAGACACTTATTCAAGGGATTTAATTTTAAGACTCCGCAGGGTTTTCTCTTTAGTAAATAAAAACTTAACGGAAGGCGGCTGAAAGACAGGAAAAGATTAGAGACAAGGTTGTTTTTTCAAAAAATATTAAAATAGGGGATATGGTGTATCTTTATACTCCTGTGTTGCGGCCTGGATTGACTAAGAAATTTGCGAAGTTTAATAAGGGTCCATTTAGAGTGGTCGAACAGGTCACCAAAGTGAATTTTAAAATTGAGTCAGTTACGAGCCCACAGCAGTCGCAGGTAGTACATGTGGATAGATTGACAAAGGTACCTGAACGTATAAACTTTCCTTCATTGCAGGCGTGCAACTCTGATGCTCCAGAGAGAATTCATAATCAATGTGCTGATATTCCTTATAACCTGAGACGTAGGGATTCGCAGGGTTTTGTTGCTTACTAATGTAGGGCTTTGCAAACATTTATTTTTGGACTCAGTAAATCAGAATTTAGCGAAATATATACATATAGATATATATATATATATTTATATAGTTTGACTTTTTCAGTTTGGCCAAACGTTATTTTGTATATGCATTAGGTTGTATTATTATTATTATTTTTTGTGGGTGTATTGGATAAAATTCTAATTGGTATTTGCACAGCGTATTCGTTATGCTATTTTCGGAATTGATTTTGGTTGGATTGAATTTTTGGACAATCACGTTTTCTTTTCTTTCTGATTTTTTTTGTGTGGGGTATTTTCGGCTGGTTCCGAGGTTCCTTGTGTTGTAACGTTCTTTTCTTTTCTAATGCTTGGCCCTGATCAGGCCGCTTCTGTTCTTAGACGTGATTGTTTGGGATTCATTCCTGGAAGTTATTCAATTTCGTAGTACTTAGGGGGGTCTTACTCTTTGTTTGAATACGTTCATGTGACATATTTTATTTGGAATTGTTTGAATTATTAGTGTGTTTATTTTCTCAGGAATGTATTTTATGTATCTGCGGCGCGTTAATTATCTTATTTTTATTTATTTTATTTTTTTGGTGTGAACAATTGGATTAGATTATTTCTTTCTTCGGGTGTGAGTATCCGAACACATTCAGTGGCTTATCTATCGTAAGGGAAAAAATTGACAGATAAAGTCTTCTTCAACTTTGAAAGAGTGATTGTTCTTCCTTGGTCGAAGGTGAGACGTAGGAGGGTGAAATCTGGTTTCTTTTAAGGTCAAGTTTCTCTACTAAAGCTATTGTGGTGCTGAGTTTTCACATTCCGGGGTTGGTTGCTTTCATTTTCTCGCGTTGAAGGCTGCAGGGGGGAGTTGCTAACACAATGATTTCTAACTACAGGGTTTTCCCTCGCTTGCATTGACAACTCCGTACTCATTTAATGTACTCCATGATTGTGCTCAGCAGAAATTGTCACAATAGTAGAATGTGTTCGACCTCAGGTGAAATTGTTTACATTAATGGACTGAAAGGAAAGAATGAATAGATAAATAAACGTTCAGAAATGTGGCCACACAGAGACTGCAACACTAGTGTGATGTAATGAACTGAAAAAAAAAAAAAAGAGAAATTCTTTTTGTCATAAAATTATTGAATGCTTGATCTTAGACATATTTTGTTTGTGATTAACGCCTTATTTTTAATTTTTATTTTTGTATGTGTTCTGAGTATTTCTAGGTTTAATTAATTAAGTGATTTAATTGATGTTTTTGATTAATTATTTTTTGATGATCTTCCTTGAGTATTTTAATTAGTAATTGCTTTGATTAATCTTGTTGTTTTACTTGCACATTTTGGACTTGAAATTTAATGTGTCAGTAACGTCACTGTTACCAAGGAGTCGTGTGAAATATTGTTACATTATGTTATCCTTTAGCCTTATTGCACAGTATGAGTCATGGTATTTCAAGAAGTGTCTGTCTTCTAAATTTTGGTAAACCAAAATTTAATTCCTTAGGGGAAAGGAATGTTATGTAGAGAAATTATCTGATAGCGTTGTAAAAACTATGTGAATGATTTTGTGATTTATGGAAATCTTAATTTTTATTTGATTATGAATTATTTATTTAAGGCTTTAATTTTGGGGAAAAACAGATGCTTCTGGGAAATATTATTTAGTTTAAAAGAATATTATTTATTTTCTTTTATTTGCAAATCTTGTACAAACTTTTATTCATTGTGAAAGAAGCAGGGAAAGGGAGGCAATTTTTGCCAAGTCATGATTTCGCGCGCTTTGTCCTTTAGAATGTTCGAGAAAGAATTTTCATTGTTAGTTGACCTTAAGAGAGGAAAGTACGTGACAAAGGTCAAAGGTTGCTACTTGTCTTTCAATGTAAGTCATTCAGGTTTTTGGCGATTGAGGGTCCGGTTGTTGGCTAAGTGAAGAAGGGCGCGCGCATGCGCGATCACCCTTATTTCCGCATTCTGGAGTTGAAAACGAAGATTTTGCCATAATTAAGGGGGCGATAAGTGAAGCCATAGTGGGAGCCCGTTTTGTGAAGGAGACGAAGGAAATTCGAGTTGGATTCACTTTTTGACGCACTCACGCTTGGACTCGCTGACTTTCGGGTTGCTGGATTTGTGGACGTTGCTCTTGAAAACTGGCTTGAAGGAAATTCGAGTTGGATTCTCTCTCTTACTGACTGGCGGGTGGAACTTACTTGGGACGTTACCCGTGAAGCTTGCTCTTGGGATGAGTAAGAACAGGCGAGCCGTAATTGCCTAGAACAACGTTTCTGACCTGAAGCTGAAACCCGAAAGCGGCGTGCTGGAAAGAGGCGAAATTTGAACGAGTTACCTGCGTGTTGACATAGGACTTTCAGGACCAAGCGGATAGCCGTCCTGGGCAGCAGTGCTCCTGTTTCTGTTCTACAGTAGTGAAGTGGAGTCTACATTTTTAGAACCAGTGTCAAGATGAGCCCGGCCGACATCAACGCTTGGGATAAGATACGAGTCCTCCGCCACTTCAAGATGTCCCTTCAAGATAAGTTTTATTTTTTTTTGGTGTGTTTGAACTTTAGGCAAGCTTTTCAAAAACGTCCTTAGCAGTAAAAAAACAACGTCGAAATCTAAAATTTAACTCTCAGGCCTTAAATTGTTTCCCTTTCCTTTCTTTTAAATTACCAGACAAACCTTAAGTTTTTTTTATGAATTTAAATGAACAGACTCTCAGATGAGGTTAAGATTTTTCTTATTGTGTTGTAATTGAATAAACTGATATTTAATCTGGAACCTCTTACAGTATGTTTTCTTTATATATTTAATATGAACTTTTCCTTTATATCTTGTATATGTTTTTATTATGTTTCGATCCTCTCACGGCGCGGTCCCGGAATGCATTTTTTTCACAACGCAAAAATGCTGTACACGTTTCACTATACGATTACTACCTTTACGGCAAGTAGTTTCATATTTAACATTTAACAATATAGGAATTTCAGATATAACATGGTACTGAGTAAAGCTATTAACCAGGTCTCGACTCTTATAAGTAAAAAGGTATTTAGTATTTTAAATGTTACAAAAACTTTTTATCTCTTTTTTAACTATTTTTTTAGGTGTGTTACACAGATGTACATATATTACACATGGTTATAAGAGTGTATGTGTGTAGGAGTTAATTCTCTTGATCCTGATTTGTACAGTATTAAGGATAGTGATTTTTTCTTCAATTTCTTTGTAGATCCTGATAAATGTATAAGCTCCATACAACAACTTTAGTAGTAAATTTTTTAGCATATGTTTCGTTTTATGAAATTGTAAAATTTCTAGCTAGTTTTGTGTTACAGTAATTAAAAAATCAGTGTAATTGTGTTTCATATTAATTTTTATATCCTTTATGCAAAATCATTATTTAGAACTCCTTGGTGATTTATTGAAAAACAAGCCCCGTGAAACTGATGGAGTGGAATCTGTTATTATTGTTGATGGTATCCCTAAAGTTGGTCCAGAAAGAGTTGAAAAGCTGAAAAATGTGCTTTATAAACTTTATTCAAACTTTGGTAAAATTGTGACAGTTGACTATCCCATGGATGAAAATGGTGTAACAAAAGGGTATGTTTCAAATATTTAAATAATTAATATTTATCAGTTAGTTGTACAGTTATTGAATTGTGTTGTATTATTATTATTCTGGATTAAATGAATTTTTTAATCATTCATATTTATGGAGGGTAGTAACTTGAGTTTAAATTATGCTTTTTATCATTTGACTGCTATTAGTTTGAAATCTATTGTCTCATTAATTGAGCTTGTTTGTTTAGCTGTTAGTCCTGATAGTGCATTTTTTTTTGTAACAGTTGTAATGATAGTTTTTTTTTTTATATAATAACAAAACATTTCTTTAGAGCTGAATGAAACTTTCTGTTGATTGGATATTAAAGCTCTAGAACATTGCATTTTGGTAACAGAACAATCCATATAGATTTTCTCCGCTATGTTTATATGGCTTAGGTAGGAACATTTCCATCTTTACATCATCCTTGAAGCTTTTTCTTCGTAAGCAGAAAGTGCCTTGCAGAAATCAATTAACTTTAATTTTGAGTGCTGGTATAATTAGCACAATCACCATAATAAAAGCTGTCAAATTTTCAGAATGTGCCAATCTTTGGCAACCATGTGTTAACAATTCTTCAGGCAAGCTGTATCGACATTTTTGTATTCATTTGTGCACTTCGGTGTTTAGTGCTTTTTTTTAACAAAAAGTATCGCTGTATATGGGGGGGGGGGAAGAATCCATGTACACAGCAGAACCTTACTTAATGATTAAAATTTGTCTTTTAAGTTGCTAAAGTGTATCTAAGTTGATATATTAGTCATTTTTGCCATTTTATGATAACTATTGATAGTCTAGCAATCCTGGATTTTAACCAAATTGCAACTGATAAGTAACTCTTACTGAATTGAATGATGACTTATGTTATCATTCTTTTTTTCTGAACAAAATTGCAAAATTCCCATCGAAATTGTGTTAATATGCAATACCTAATTTTAATGAAAACTATGTAATAAAATATCAAAGCTCATTTGGCACTTCCTATGCAGTTGTGGTTCTTGAGAAATACTTGTCATAATTAATTCTCCTTTGAATGCATGAAATGATAAAAGCTTTTCTTGGTAAACTTGCACATGAATTATTCATTGTTTGAAATTAAGTTCCCAAAACTGCCTAAATGGGGCCTTTTCCAGAATCATATTATTCAGAAACAGAGAATGTTGCAAAATGTTTCTATTAACTTTTAACCTATTAACTAAAGATTTTTGAGTGATGTATGAAACAAAGCTTAAATATAAGATAACTAAAATACTAAAAATTATGTGTAGTATGTTTGATTTATAGAAAAACTACAGCAGTTATTTTTGTCTTGCAGTTTTTAATTGAACATAAAGAGAAGGAAGAAGAATCACATTTAGATAGAAACAAAGTCCTTAGACCCTATTATGACAATTAATGCAAAGCTTTCAGGGATAGATGAATAAGTGAACAGAAAGATAAGTGCGGTGATATGGAACTTTATGTAATAACCTGTAGCTTTCAGTACATGGTGTATGAAATGGGGCATATGCTCGTATTTTTAGCCATAGGGCAAATATACATTGGTGTGCAAAAATTAAGGACGAAGTCGAAAAATTAGCATATCAGCTGAATGAAGAGGCAGAGCGGACAGAAAGACCAATCAGGAGATTAAGGCGATGTACGGCAGCACATGTTCAGATATGCAGGTAGACGTAATGGGGGAGTGTCTGAGTAGTATAAAGCATGTTGTCTGTGTAAGATTAGTATTTCTGGCAAAGAGATTGCACGCCGTATAGCAGTTAAAATCACACCGAGTTGCTGCCTCAGCGAGAAATGGCGAATAAATCAATCTGTTAGACGACATCTGGATGCTTTTACCAGAGGTCGAATCATTGGGAAGTTGGAGGAAGGCCGCAGTGTGACAAGTGTGGCTGCAGAGTTCGGAATTGCTCACAACATCGTTTCACGACTTTGGAGACAATTTCAAACTACAGGAACAGCTATCCGGGGGTTTAGTAGTGGTCGTCCACAAGGAACCACACCCGCAGATGACTGGTATATTGTCTTACAGGCCAGAAGAAACAGGCGGCAGACAGCGGGAGATCGCTAGACACTCGACACAAGCGACTGGATGACCAATATCGCGTTTTACCGTGGCCAGAAGACTGCACGGTAGTGGTCTGTTTGCACGACACCCTGTACGGTGTGTACCTCTAACGCCTGCCCATCGGAGAAGGCGTTCTCTGTGGTGCCGGGAACACCGGAATTGGAGAGACAATGAATGGGGACGAGTACTCTTTACAGATGAGAGCAGATTCAGTGTGAGTAGCGATTCTCATTGCATACTCATCTGGAGAGAGTGGGGAAGCTGCAATCATCCCTCTAACATCATTGAAAGGGACAGGTATGGAGGTGGCGGTGTTCTCGTTTGGGGAGGCATCATGCTTGGTAGTCGTACAGACCTTCACATCTTCGACGCAGGTTCAGTCAACGGGACCCGTTATTGTAACGAGATTCTTCTTCCAATTGTGCATCTTTTTAGAGGCGCTATGGGTCCGCAGTTCCTTTTCATGGATAACAATGCACCATATCATCGCACAGTAGCTGCCGAACAGCTCTTAGAGAGTGAGGATGTTGAACGTATGGATCGGCTGGCACAATCTCCGGATCTCAATCCCATCGAGCATGTATGGGATTTTCTAGGCAGACGCTTGGCAGTTTGTACCTTACCACCAGTAACGATTCCGGAGCTTCGATTGGAGCTGCAAGACGAATGGGCAGCAATGCCTCAACAACTCATTGACACCCTCATTCTCAGCATGGGCAGATGCTGTGAAACCTGCCTAGCAGTCAGGGGAGATCATATCCCCTATTAAAGACCAGATGTTTCTTGCTGGACACCCATCACAGGGATGTTTCAGCCTTCAGTCGCATTGCGCTCCATGCTACTTTTTCAATAAAGCTTCTTTTTATCCCTCTGATTTCTCTTTTAGTAAGTGTTGCTTACATTACTCATGTCCTTACGTATTGGGGATCTTACGGTATTAAATGTGTTGATTTGGAAAGCTTTTGTACAAAGTTATATTGAAAAAACCGTCTCGTCCTAATTTTTGCACACCAGTGTATATTTGTGAGACGTAAAGCATTCCAGTGTGACAGATCATATATGATATATAAAGTCGTAGGGACATTAGGTTATTTCGAAGCAGGAGACATGAAAAATGAGCAGTGCCCTCGCTGCGACTCGAACCTCGGACCTCTTGAATATATGCTGACCATTACACCCCGAAGGCATGCTAAAAGGATGGGAAAAATACTGTAAAAGGGAATAAACTCTCCCTTTTAAAGGGTGACTGGGGATTAGGGGGCCCAATCGCCAAATCCTGGTGGCGGAGAATCATCATCCACCACCTTTTTTAGTTTTTGCACCCCTGTTGGTACATTAGCTTATTTCAAGACAGGAGACATGGAAAATAAACAGTGCCCTTGCCGGGACTCAAACCTCAGACCTCTCAAATATATGCCGAGCATGCTGACCGTTGCACCAAGAAGGCATGCTAAGAAGGTGGGAGAAATACTCTATAAAGTTGTGCATTGCACCTCGAAGGCATGCTAAGAAGGTAGGAGAAATACTCTATAAAGTTGTGCATGTCATTCATTCCTCCATCATGTGATAGTGTAGTGAGAGAAGGCATTCCTGCGAAAAGAGATGATGCTAATCACAGGCAGGAGCTCTTTACGTGTCATGCATTCTAAACTTTATGCCTGAGAGGCTTTTTAAGTAGTGAAAACATTTGCTGGATTTAAAATTAGAAATACCCACTAAGATAGCAGCTACTTCCCCCCCTTCAGAATTCAGCAATGAACTCCAAGTTTTGTATTGTGCAGCATCTAGAATCTGTTGTACATATGCTTCAGTTTCATATGATTTTTTTTCTTTTGTGCTTTCTACAAGTTTCTGTCTGTTCAGCGGTCGAATGCAGATACCTTGACAAGATTCCAGACAAGGCGAATGGGCTGACTGCATGGTTATTTTTCATTCCTTTCCCATGTATAATGTGATTATGAACCAGTTTTCATTAGAAAGTCTTCCATGAAGGCGACTTTCCCGTAGGCAGATAGTCCTTGTGTGCTTTGTCATATTCAAATGACCTAACCTCTGTCTCAAGAGTTGTTAAAATGTGGCTCTGTCTCAAGAGTTGTTGGAAATATAAGCAATAAAAAAGTTTGAGTGAAATAAAGGTTGTTTTATGGATTTGAACGACATTTACAAAATACTTTTGGGTGGAGAAATTGCGACAAGTAACAAAAAAGTGAGTTAATGAGAGAAACGCAGTTAATACTTATTATTATGGAGACCCTTCATGTCCTAAATAAAAATGCGGAGGGAAAATTGATTCAACGTGCTCTCATTAACTGGGGATTTTTTACTCCACTAATTATAAGAAATTATCATTATTACAAGTATCTACTGTGTCATTATCAGAAAATTGTGCATTGGCAACAAATGCTTTTTTTCTAGTCATTGAAATGCAACACATTATCTGGTGTTACAAGTTAAAGAAAACTGAAATAAAACAAATAAATGATTTTCTTAATGATATGTATTTGAAATACAAGTGCTAGAGTATATAAAAAAATTATTAGTATCTATAATTTTTTTTTCTTTGGGCATATACACTCTTTTGAAAAAAAAAAAAAAAAATTGATGCACCATGAAGGAGGTGGTTGTTTTTGATGAAATTGAATATGTGTGTAGCTCATACACAGATAATAAAATGATTAAAAAATCATAATACCTATTCATGGCTCACAATTACCCATTGAGTGTTGAAATTAGTAGTTGGTCGAACCACCCCTGGGGGCAACTTGGGAGGCATTTCATGTTAAATATAATAAACAATTGACGCACAAGCACATAAACACATAGATCAAAGAACACTGAATGATCTGACGAGGGAATTCCCTGATTCGAACCGGATCGGTAAATGGTACCATGCATACCAACAACCTGGCTCATTGCTCGTATTAAGAGACAAATTTTTCACTCATATTTTCCTTGTATCGCGAATTTTTCATATATAGAGGTACTCGTATCTAGAGGTTCCACTGTCGTCATTTGTTTTGTTATGCATATTTTCCTATTATATCGGAAATTTTGTTTAGCAGCAGTTCATGTAGTCCCAATTTTCATGATATCAGCTTTTTCGTTTTTCTTTAATTGTTGATAATTTAATAAAGTATACATTGCATTTATTGCTCCAGAGTGGAATGAATCACCTTAACTAAGTGAAGTAGGTGTTGTCGTGTACATGTGTCTGAAATTCGCTGATATCCCATATTAATCTTTTCTTTATATGTGGGGCTTGTGACCATTCATCTTATTTTGTAGTCATATCTCTTCAAACATGATCTAACTACTACTGCAGCTCTCAGTATTAAGTGTGTCATCTACAGAGCATTCTAGAGTGACTGCTGAGTTTGGTAGTGAGGAAAAATGAAGAGGAAACTGTGATTTGTAGGAGATGGACTGAAGGAGAAAATAGAGCTGGATGTCATTGAGGAAGCCAAATCAGTAAAGTGGTATTAGACTGCCAGTAAATATAGAGCAAAACAGAGAGCTTGAAGGTTTGATCTTTGCATAAAAGAGTAAATGATACTGAATGCCTTAAAAGATAAAGGCAACTGTGGTATTGGATTCTGAAAGTTCCTTCCCCTTTTATTTGTAAGAAAGTGAAATGCAAAGAGTGTCATAAAAAATTAGAGCAATTACAGTCCAGTTTTGGATTCAAAAACTTTATCTCATTTTGCGTTATGGCTGTTGTTGCATTTCGCATTGTTATTTTTGCATAGCATGTTTAAAATTTGTATACATTGAATGTTGTTAAAACTTTGAATATGTTTATTTCGTTTTGTATAATATTAATTCTGTTACCAGTTAATGAAATCATGATTGTAATAATTGTTTAGGAGCCAGAGATTTTTTTTTTTTGTTTGCTCCTAAACAGGAGAACCTGTGTTTGATTACCCTGGAAAGTGATACTTTAATTAAAAATCTCTGCCAATCTAAATTTGCTTTTTTTTTTTGCTTTTTTTAATTGAGCATTTGGGCATCCTGGTTATTACAAAAATGCAACTTTTAAATTATAAGTATTAATAAAAATTTAATACTTTTACAGATATGTATTCTTTGAATTTGCATCTCCAGAAAATGCTATTGAAGCAGTGAAATCAACAAATGGGTACAAACTTGATAAGCACCACATATTTGATGTTAATCTTTTCACAGATTTTGCAAAGTAAGTAATTTTATGTTTTATAATGTAGTAGAATCTCAGTTAGCCCAGTGCAGTTAATATTTTGTATTACCTGAATCAAAACTGTATATGTAATGTACTCTTTTTCTTATAACTCACAATAGAACGATTTCTGTAACTTGCATACTGAAGGCATTTAAAATCCACTCTAGGTTTCTTATGCAGATGGTTTAAATGACACTTATACCTGTTCAACGGCAGAAACTACTGCACTTGTTGATATTTTATTGCTGAGGTAGGATACTATAGGAAAAAAGCAAAAAAAAAAAAAAAAAAAAAAAACTGCTGTAAAAGAATAAAACTCTTAACTAATGTTTAAAATTTTAAGTATTCTGCAAGGGATTTGTTTTTGTCAGCCTTTACCATTTATATTTGTTTCAATATGAGACAAACCATTTTTATTTAAATGTATAAAAGTAAATATGGTGCAAAGTCTAAAATCTGGATGTCACTTTCAAAATCTGCTGGCTAGGATGTTGCACTGTAGTTAATAACTAATGTAGTAGTTGATTTTGGCCAGGATGACATTTTCAGCAGGGCTGTGGAGTCGGAATCGGAGTTAGGCAGATTTTTGGGTAAAAGGAGTTGGAGTCACTAAAAACGAATCAACTCCGACTTTGGATTTTGTTGGATAGTTTGAATTTGAAAGGAAATTAAAGTGAATTGGAAGAAAAAAAAGGCGAACTGAGTTATTATTTTTATTTATGGACTATACACATTAATAAATATATAGTTATTTTCTATTTTATTGACATATTAATAAATAAATATAAGGGAGGACAATAGATGTAATATTTGCCACTATTCATTGAACTGATACATTTAGTTACCTCTTCTCATAGATGCATTATTGCAGTATAATTCACAAGAAAAAGGAGCCCATGGCTGCAAAATGCATGTTGGGTCACCAAATTCTTCATGTTCTGTTTTAACCATATTAGATATTTTTGGGTCACCGACACTCAAAAATATCTAATATGGTTAAAACAGAACATGAATAAATTGTTACAATAGATAAAAAAAGAACTGCTTTAGATACTGAAGTTTCTCAAGAATATCCATATGAAGCTTTAGATGATGTTGTTGAAGAGGCATCAAAACTCTACCCAATCAAACAAATGTGTTGTGCAGTCCATACCTTGAAATCGGTTGCAGAACCTTATGATACAAATCTCATTGGTAAATTTAGGCAAGCAGCAATAGCAGCAAGAACTTCCAAAATTGATCCCATTCTTGGGAGACAAGGAGGAAAAGGAGAAATTTTTTATCAATCAATGCAATGGAAAAGTACATATCTGATAATAAAGATTTTGCTAGAATTAGGAACTTTTCTAGGAGATATAGATAACCCTAATGTTTCACTAACAGAAAGACTGAGATGATCTTGAAAGAATTAGAAACTCTTTCTACACCGTATGTAGCCACAAAAATGCTGCAATCTGAAGGCTTAATAGGAGATTTGTTTCTACGGGACTAGAAGAATGTGATCGTTGTTCTTCCTAAACTGGGAGGGCTTATTGCAGAAGGAATCATTTCCTCAATGAAAAAAAAGAGAAACTAGTTTGCTAGACAGCGAGATCTTGCCGAGATTAATATATGTAGATCCAAAACAACAAATTTCTGTTGGATGACAAAGAAATGAAAAAAGACAAAGTAAGCTATTTATAAACTTTCACTAAGAATGAAATTATTCTCAGAACAACTGGAGTACTCAAATCAAGACAGTCAAATTGCAGATCCTGCGATTGAGTCTCTATCATCATCTTCCGATGGTGAATTAGATTTTTAGAAATATTTGTATAATCCTGAAAAGACTAAGACAAAGCAAATGAAAATAAAGAACCAAGAGCCTTTATATATAAAAATGCAAAAATACAAACAAGATTTCTACTCAGCCCTTGAAGAAATGAAGGAATGTGATCGCGAACTTATACAAATCTATCCTAAAAAGTTAAAACAAGTAGCTGTAACAGTAACAGCTCTTCCTTCTACTAAAGTTAGTGTGGGAAGACTATTCTCAGCTCTGAAGTTCATCAAATCAGATCTATGGTCCTCTGTCAAAGAAGTTCTTGCCAAAGCTCTAGTGTTTCTTAGAAATTACTAATGCCAGTTTTTCCATTTCACAATAAATGCTAATTAATATAAATCTGCTATGCCATCATTTTTTTTTTTTTTTTTTTCTGTAGGATCTATTACTTCTTTTATGTATGCAAACAATAACCTGTTACATGTGTGTTTGTTTACACACACACACACACACATATATATATATAGGAGGGAGTCGGAGTCTTTAAAATTCTAGGAGTCTGATTCGGAATTGTAGTCGGTCATTTTCCCTTCTGACTCCACAGTCCTGATTTTCAGTTCTTGAGTTGTAGGAGGAGGCAGGGCAGACACTACTCATTGCCATCTGATGCAATCTCTGCAGGTCCTAAATTCTACTGTCTTTGTACCTCCTTAAATTCTAAAAATTTTGTCATATCTGATCTTTACTGCTTAGTGTTTCTCTAAAATTTAGACATCCATTATGGTCACACTGGCTCTGGTGCCAGCTTTGTTGGAGAGTTAGCATTTTTCTGACCTGACCTAAACAATAAGTGAAATCCCATTGTTGCTATGTTTATATGCCATCTTACCAGATTTAAACTGATAATTTAAAATTCACATATTTCTAAAATGTGGAATTCCCAAATCCCAACATCTCTGGATTTTGCGCTTTGTACTGTATAAATATATTTTCCTTTAACATTTAGTGCATTAAATTTTGAAAGGAGCCTTAAAAGTGTGATGCCTTATAAATTTTATTGTGACTGTAATTTTTAATTAGAAATTAGTAACTGTTTGCTCTGAGTTTTTTAGGGCTTTCATGCATTTATTTTTTATGTAATTAAAAGTGATGCCATATAAATTTTACTATAGCTGTAATTTTTGATAAAAAAATAGTAATTGTTTGCTTTGAGTTTTTATTTATTTTAATATAGCTCTAAGTATTAGGGCTTTACTGCGTTTAATTTTTATACAATTTGATTTCTTAATTAGAAATGCACGAATGAGTAAAAATTACATTAGGTCATTAAAATGTGGAAAATGAATTAAATGAAAGATCAAAAGGATCAGTTTGGATCCTTCTGGTAAGAGAGGAAGTCAAAATCAGCATAAAATTAAAATACTGTAATGAGCTTTTGCTAATTAAGATTAATTAAGAAACGCCGAACAAATATTAATTTCTAAAGTCAAGCAACAAAAATCAGCGTTATATTTTCAAATTTTCACATGACTAGTTTCGATGGTTTTACCAAACCATCATCCTCAGCTGCAAAAGTGCAAATGAACGAGATAAGATATAATGATTAGATAAGAAAGCCTGGACAGGAGATAAGCCACTGGCTCCATCTGTTGATGAAACCAGAACTAAAACGTAATTTCTTTAAAGGCTGAAGACAAAGATGGATTGGAATTAGGGTCATTAACTAGAACAGAAAGATATGTGAAACAGAAATAGAATTTAAAAATAGCAAAAAAGTACTTACAGAAACTCATGCAATCACAAAATGGCGGTTACACCACATGCAAAAAAGGAAGCGAAAAATAAGCCGTTTCCTGCTCTGAAACACATACAATCGCAAAATGACGAAAACCACATGGAAAAAAAGAAAGCACAAAATAAGCCTGTTTGGGGCTTCTATAATTAAGATACAATAACACGCAGAACAAATATTAATTTAGAAGATAGGACAGGAGTGTCCAGACTTTCTAATCTAATTATTATATCTTATCTCGTTCATTTGTGCTTTTGCAGCTGAGGTTCCGTAAAACCATCAAAACTAGTCCTGTAAAAATTTGAAAATATAATGCTGATTTTTGTTGTTTGACTTCTAAATTAAAGCTTTTGCTATCTAACTTAACATGAGAAAAATTACGACAAAATTTTAATTTCACTCTTGTATATGAGAAAAAGTACCTTTCAAGGTCAATATACAATATTTGTAACAAAAAGCTTCTACTGCTTAATCTAATACATTTGCAGAAATTTTGACTATAAAAACTGATCGATATTTGAATGAATAAAGCTGAAAAACCTAAGTATTTAACTTTTCTGTATTTCCAGCATTGAAGTTTCCTAGCCTTTTGTCATATACATTTTAAATGTGGGCCATTTTTGGTCAGGCAGCTCTCCATAAAGATATCTCTCCCTATAGGTTAGTGAGAGATTATTGTCACGTGTTTTATTTTAATGAAACAAATGTGTGCACTGTAATATAGAGCAATTATCTTGATATTTTCCTGAAAACTATCCCTGCCCTTAAGCAGTGAGCTGTGTTGTGCTTTACTGTTGTAAAATAATCTAATGCATTATGGTGATAAAAAAAACCAAATAATTGATCCATAATAAATAATAATATAATTGATCCAATTAGAAAATTCACCTGTTAAAATATTCCAATTTGTGTAAGCAGAAAAAATATAAACATTTTAATCCTTCTTCTCCCTTTTTATCCTGCAGATGTAGTTTCAAGGAGGTATGAGAGTTGTGCATGGCGAATATGTTTTTTTTACCGTACTTAACAGTTTCATATATTAAAACTATTCAAGATACTTTTAAAACTGAAAAAAGATATAATAAAAATTATGTAAATTATAAAGGGAAAAATCTTGTGTGTCTTGCCATGTCAGATCTGCTAACGCAAGTAGTTTGTAATATTTTAGTTGCCTAAAGTAATATTCGGAAAACTGGAAAATCTTGGTTACGAAAGTTTTTGAAATCAATGTAAAATAAGGAATATATATATATATTGCAAAATGCCCAGCTGTAGTAAGATAGCTTCCTTGCAAAGTGGGTTTAGGGTTGCCAGATTTGGCATGAAATTGCCCATTTGATGACAAATTGGGGATATGCCATAGAGGGAACGTGAATATTTTAAAACGCATTCTTAACAGTTTTCCTCAAGAATGTTCTTGAAGGTAGGTTAAAGCTATATATA